TGCCTGGAGTTCTCTCACTTGCCCTTCCAGGGTCTCAAGTAGGGTACATGTGAGACAGGTGAGGGGACTCCTGGGACCCCTGCTGCCACCAGGCCCCAGAGGTCCTGTCAAGCAACCCCTGCAGACGGGCCCAGGGCACCACCGACCCATCCAAGGGCCTCATGTGGGTGGAGGCCTCAGAGGAGCCCCGGGTGGGAGGTGACACCAGAGCAGTGTCTCTGGCTGCACGCTGTACCATAAGCCCCATTGAAAGACTCCTCCTTTTCCATTCACCTGAAGTCTCTGTCCGACGCTGTCACCTCTTAGAGTTCAGGCCACTTCTGCGCAAACTCCAGCGCTCCCCTAAAGAGCACACCTGTTTGATTGGCCTGTTCATACAGCTCAGGAGCTCAGCTCCTTCCTGGCTTGGCTCTATGGGGATGGGAGGATGGAAAAACCCTACCCGATTCCCTGCAGGCAGCAGGGGCATCAATGGAGCCCTAGAGGGGTAACATCTGAGGCCAGATGAAAAGCTGAGCGTGCTCAGCAGAAGTGTTCCACCTTCTTGGGTATGCTGGGCCAATATACCTGCTGCATTAAACGGGACTCCATCTCATCTCTACCCAAATACCCCCCTCCTCCCCCAGCATGAGTACGTGAGCAATGTGCAATAGAGCTTCTCTATATTTCTGGGGTGCCAGCACCTGTGCATCTCTGTTCCAATGAAACACATCATGTCTTAGCTCAAAGTGCTGATAAGTCACCATCAATTCTGTGCACAGTGCCTCCCTGGCTTGCTTCACTATCCCCATCTTATAAACATGGCAAAAAGTGGATTCTCTGGCTTGTTCATCCCAGAATTGACCCTCTCCATTAACCTCTCCTGTTGCTGCTTTTCCTCTGTCCCAGAGGCTGGTTCATCCCCAGTCAGGCCCTCTTCCTGGGCCTCCTGGGTTGTCTTCTTCCATATATGCACAGCCCTGTGCCCCAGGGCTTGATCTATCACCTCATGAAAGTGAGGCCAGTCCTGCCCCAAAACATGGGGCACAGCAGCCTCTGTGCTAAACCCACTGCTACTTTTTCCATTTTGCCCATTACTGTCAACATTACCCACTTGGGGTGGGGGGAGGGGGAGGCATATGTGTAAGTTGCCCTGTGCATGCATACCATGCTGACCATGGTATCTTCTTTACCCATCTGTGGAGGTTGTGGCAGAATGCCATCTCTCTCTCTCCCCAAACTCTGTATTCAGGCGGATGATCAATCTGATAATTTGGTTACCATGGTCATTGCAGAGGGCAAACACCCCTGGCCCCATCAGCTTCAGGTAACCCTGAGTTGTAACCTGAGCTGGATACATTCCTGAGTGAGGGGGAAACCTGCTCCCTCTGCCTACATGACTGGTCTCACACACTTGGGTGGGGGCTTAAACTCCCTATTATTCTAAGCAATGTCATCATGACTGGGAGGGGGCTAGAGATGCAGCCAATCTACCTGGCAATCAGTGATGCATTTCAGTTTGGTTGGTTGCCAGCCAACCAAACTGCTGGCCTTCATTGGATTAGGTAAATGAGGTCATATGGTCTATATAAGTTAAGGACTGCCCAGGAAGCGGAGCAGCAGCCATGATGAAAACTCTCAGAGAACCTGGACCATCTAAAACTCTCTCTCGAAACTCTTGTTCAATGATCTGCTTGCCTCCTGAGGGAATCTCCACCTGCTTCTGGATGATACTTGTGAGTAAGCCACTTGAGATCTAACTAGATATATAGCTTGCAGTAACTTAGATGTGTGATCAAAGGCTACCATGCCACTGTTTGCTCTAATGTATTTCTCTGACACTGCTATTCCAAACCTGTACCCTATTCCAAACCTACTCCTTGTAACCAATAAAGTTCTGCTTTGTACCTAGCATGGAAGACTTATTGGGAGAGGGTCTAGATTATGCCTTGGGGGTCCCCTTGGTTCAGCTAACTAAGGGAGATGTTGTAATTCAGACTGAGGAAAGCACCCCAGGTTCTTGCAGTGGGTCAAGTACCCCTTAAGGACTACTAGGCCTGTGTTTCCCAGGGGGCACAGGGCCAAGATCAGTCCAGACCCTGGGTGGTGGTGGTGTTACCCCAAGGCTTGTGGATGTGCTCCAGGAAGGGGGTCAGTTGGGCGTAGTGAGGTGGGTGGCTAAACGCAGGAGCACCCCCTACTGGCCTGGCACAGGCAATTCATCCTTTATTGTAGCCTGTGCACACCCAGAATCCACCACAGGAAGTATTATTAGGGCTCCTATTTTAGCATCATCCATTGGTCTTGGTACTCTGGTTGGTCCCATTTGCCACCCAAAGCTGCAATCCATTCTTTCTTCATATGGACTCTTTGGGGATTTTTCACCCTGGTTGTGGTGTAGTCCTTTCCAGGGGCATCCTTCTTGCATTGTCCATGGACAGTTACAGGCCATATGCCCAAGGCCTCTGCATCAATAGCACACAGTTTCTCAGGTCCCCAAGCCTCTAAACAGATGGAACTAGCTTAGAGGCATTTCCAGTTTTCTGGATGCCAGGTCCTGTCTCTTAGTCTCCCAATAAGCCTCCCCTTCAGCGCCCATAAAGCCTCAGTGAGGTGGAGAGCCTCTTCCACTGTCTGAGGCTGCTGCTTCCAGATCCACTTTTGTATGTCCTCCAAATTGGCAAGGAATTGCTTTAGGGGGGAATAGGTTCAACACCTCTGGCACGGTCTTCTCCTCTGGTTGAACCCATCTCTCAGTTAAGTCCCTCAGTGCCTGGGCAAGTATCCTTGGCCATTTGTTTTCCCATTGCTTCTTGGCACACAACCGTTGTGATAACATTCTGGTGTGCTCTCAAGTTGGTACAGTATGGAATTCTTTACTTGATAGTCATTCACCTAGGCTTTGGACAGGTCCCTATAAGCTGCCTGAGCTGGGCCTAACTGACTGGCCGACCGGTTTTAGTCCCAGCCAGCAGCCAGTGTGACTCTCTTGAAGGCCTCTTAAGTATGCTTCAACATCATTGTCTGCCATCATCTTTGTTACTCTGACCCCTTCAGTGGCCCAGATCACCATGGCTTGTTGTGCCTCTTTTTTTTCCCCTCCACTCAGCTTCTGTTGTCTATTCAGTAGCATGATGTGGGTCTCAGACTCCTGGGACTGTACGCTCACCAGCTCCTCCATTTGTGTTTGCTGTCCATAAAACAACTGTATCACTAGTCCACAGGCTCTTTGCCAGTTCTGGGGGGGTCCCCCCTGTTCCTGTTGGTGGGTTTATGTCCATCTCATTAAATGGCTCTCTTTCTCCAAGATTGGCTTCATTCTAAGTTTCCTAGCCAATGCACCACTGTAAGCGGGTGTGTCCAGGGACATCTCAGTGGCTCACGCCTCCACTTCTAGATCACTTCCCACTCGCCTGCCATACTTCCACATCTTCAATAGTTAATAGAAAAAAGGGAGTTGAAGAGTTATCCAAAATCAGCAGTATGATGCGAGGACAAAGATTTTCTTCACAGGGCTCCTTCTCCCCTACACCCTGCACCTTGCCACTCCCAGCTGGATCTTGGTTAAGGTCTTATCACATCTACCTGTACTCTGTGTCCTCAGGCCTGCCCTCCTGGTTTGCTAAGTTTACTTATTATTAGTAGCCGCAGCTGGAGTACTGCACTCAGTTTTGGACCCCACAAATCAAAAAGGGTATGGAGAAGCTCGAGAGAGTCCAGAGAAGAGCCATGCACGTGATCAGAGGTCAGGAAAACAGACCTTACGATGACAGGCTGAGAGCTATGGGGCTCTTTAGCCTGGAAAAGCGCAAGGTCAGGGGTGATCTGATGGCCACCTATAAGTTTATCAGGGGTGACCACCAGGATCTGGGGGAACGATTGTTCACCAGAGCGCCCCAAGGGATGATGAGGTCAAATGGTTATAAACTACTGCAAGACTGTTTCAGGCTGGACATAAGGAAGAATTTCTTTACTGTCTGAGTCCCCGAGGTCTGGAATAGCCTGCCATCAGAGGTTGTTCAAGCACCTACATTGAACACCTTCAAGAGTAAACTGGATGCTTATCTTGCTGGGATCCTATGACCCCAACTGACTTCCTGCCCTTTGGGCGGGGGGCTGGACTCAATGATCTTCCGAGGTCCCTTCCAGCCCTAATGTCTATGAAATCTATGAAAACTCTTGGCCTCCAAAGTACCTGGGGTTAAGATTCCTTTTTACTAATTTATGGTTCCCTGACTTATTGCTCTTAATTTTATAAATCCCGTGATTCCTCAATTAATCGTCTGTCATATATCTGTTTATTAACTCAGTAAGTTATCATCTTTACCTTTTAATGATTAGTCTATTGCTCACCGGCTCATCAACTTAATCAACGATCCTTATAATTCAACATTTTAATAGTCCGTTCCCCACTGGGACCTTAACTCAATTGCTGATCCTCTTATACCATATCAATTAATAATTTTATAGCCTGCCAGCTTATCGGTGCCTTCACCTATCTTCTGGGGAAAGCTTACCCTGTCTTCGCTGGTCTCATCTCAATCACTGGCCCCAGCTGTAGCCCTGGCCCTGGCACCGGCTTTGGGTTCAGCTCTGGCTCCAGCTTACACAGTACTCAAACTTCCCATGCCTTCCTCTCTCCAAGGATGAGCAAGTGTGGCAGCCACCCCTTTGAACCTCTGGTGGAACTCCGAGGAGCCAATGGGAGCTGGCTTTTGTTGCATGTATTTGCCTGCCACCCAGATTGGCCCCTGCCAGCATCCAGGCAGTGATAGTGCCAAGAGTCCCCAGGTAAATCTCTGGGCGAGCTCCAGTCTGGCTAGCGTGCATGGACCGTAACAGGACCCGGGACCAGTGTCCTATTACATGCTGTATTAAAGTTTAAAATTGTACATGATAATTTTCATTACAACTTTTGTATTATTCAACACATTTGTAACTAGTTTAGATGCCTAGAACATTTCTGATAAATCTGTTATGGAAATAACTGAGAGGGTGATTACTTTTTTTTTTAATTATAGAATGAAGAAAAGCATTTAATCAAAGATAAAGCTGTTGACATTTGTCACTCGGAGAAAACAGCAGCTGAGCCTGAAAAAACCCCAATAAAAAATGAGATGAACAACAAAAGAGCTTCCATAGCAACATTGAGCAAAGTGGATATTGATATTTTGCTGTCTGAAACAAGGAACTGTAAGAATGACTGTTCAGTGCAAGATAATAAAATGGGCAATTTAAGTATTCCTAGTGATGCAGAAATTAAAGTAAAACTTAGTGGCCCACAGACTGAGGACAGTGGACTGCAACAAAACATAAACCCAGGTTTGGAAGCTGAAAGTAGGGATTCTAAAAAGTTGCCTGTTGGAGTCATAGATGAGAGTCACAATACTTTGAAGCTCATGCAGACCATCTCAGGAGACCAAAAGCAAATTGAGCAGGTAATTTTTTTAAGGCTTAGACAAATATTTTCAAAGTGTAATTGTCGGACATCGGGGTTTTTTAGAAAGTACAAATTTGCTGCACATAAGCACCACCTAAGGCACTTCAGTAAGGACATGGAAGAACTTGAGGGAGTCCAGAGAAGAGCCACCTGTATGATCAGGGACTTGTAAGGCAAGCAATACGAGGAAAGGCTGAGGGACCTGGGCCTCTTTAGCCTAAAGAAGAGAAGGTTGAGAGGAGACTTGATAGTGGTTTACTGCTATATTAGAGGAGTGCATCAGGAGCTCAGTGAACAACTGTTCACCAGGGCACCCCTGGGGAGGACCAGGACCGATGGATACAAACTCCCGGAAGGCCGCTTCAGGCTTAATACCAGGAAAAACTCCTTCACAGTTAGGTTGTCCAGACTGGAATAAACTCCCTCCAGAGGTGGAGCAGTCACCTACTGTGGTGGTTTTCAAGAGGAAACTGGACAGTCACCTCAGTGGGGTCACTTGACCCCAGTTGTCTTCCTGCTTAGAGTGGGGGGCTGGACCTGATGATTTGTGAGGTCCCTTTCAGCCCCTAACAATCTATGAATCTAACATGACAGGACACTACAGATTGAGGTCTTGAGGTACTTTAAGTAGTTAGGAGCCCTAGTAGCTCTGTAGCATTGTATCCACTTACCTTAATGGTTCAGATTTGTTGTTCTTGCCTAGAAGCAAATTTATTTCTACTCCTGCCATGAAGTGATGAGGTAAGAGAACTTTTGGGAGATATTTGAAGCAGGATATACTTCCCTCTTGGCCATATTCACCTCTTATTTGTCTGTTAGAGAGAGAGAGAGAGAAAGGAAGGACAGCTTAGCAGAAAACTGATTTAAAGAAGATGAAAGATAGGGAAGGAAAGTAAAAGTGGGAAAGACTGAAGAAAGTAGAAAAAGTTAAGAGAAAGATGAAAAGGAGATACAAAGTTAGAGCAAGGGAAAAGGGAAACTGCTTAATGGATATAAGAGACTTTATTATGAAGGGGAAAGAGTGAAGTAATAAACAGAAAAGAAGAGACGCTTTTAAAGAAAAATATGCTGGGAGGTGGGTGGAGAAGTATTCTGGAGAATCAGCCCCTGTAAAGAAATGTCATGACCCAGCCTCCTTCCTAGGTTTTTTCCTGTCTTAGGTGGTTAATTATCACAGACAGGCCAGTGTCCTATTCCCTGCACTCTTTTAACACATCCTAACAAGTGAAAAAACTAGGGGAAGTCACTGACCTTGCAGTCCTCTGGTGTCAGACACTTGGGCTCTTAATAAAAGTATATTAAAGTATAACTGATTTTTCCTGTTACACTTGCCTTGGACTTCAATGTAAAAAATCTGGTCTCCTGGCTGTGTAGCCTTCAGTTCTATCGAGTCGCACACTAAATAACATTGTTATATTTAACTGATGATAGATTTTTTTTATCAACTTTTTTCATGAGACAAATTGCATTACTAATACTTAACACTTTTTACAATTGATCTGCTTTAATCTAAACAAAATGCAGTCAATTTTTAGGAGACAAAGATTTTAGTGGGTGATTTATTGGATCAATTGCATGGTTAGTTGGTATGTAGATATCACACTCAAAAAAATCCCTGCGTCTCCCCTGTTTTTTGGACTATCAAAGCTACAACATCACTCCAACACTGCCAATCATTTTTCAGAGTTTGGATTATACTGAGAAGTTGATGGCACCTTTTGTACCTGTCATATTTCAGGTGAGTTTTCAAGCATTAATTTTGGCTGGTTCTTTGACCTAAAATGAATAGTACTTTAAAAGGAATCCCAAATATTGTTCCTGGTGAGCCACTACACCCCACAATGAGCTGTGCCCCCCCTACACACACTTTTCCTATATAATATTTGATTTGTGGAGTAGGTTTACTAGTGTGTTCTGTTCCACCGCCCTAATAGCGATTCAGAACTCCCATTCATTGTAACAGATCTCACACTTCGTTAACATACTTTTATTTTGTGGCTTAAATGCTAAAATTGAATGATGATATAGAGACGTGTAAAAGTTGTGTGTACATTAGAAGTAAAAAAATACATTTTAAACACTTGGGGGTGGGGTTCTGCTTCTTAGGATGAAGTTGTTCATGGAAAACCTGGAGGAGCTCAGGAAAAAATCACTTCTCACTTAAAGCCTCATAGTTCTGCCAGTGAACCCTCCCTCTCACGGCAGCGACGAAAGAAGAAAAAGGAACTAGCTGACATTTGTTTGGAAAAGGTGCAAGTGAATAAAAGTGGCTTAAAATTGACAGCATTCTGCTATTTTAGCCTCTTCCTATCCTACAACATGTATAATGCTTTTTAGACCCTTTCAAAAAGATCATGTTTAAAATAGAACATGGTTCATGAATAATCTAATTTCCTAAATGTTCATATAAATGGATTCATAACAAAATGTGAAACTATTGACTTTGGTAAGTGTATTTTTGTTCTTTTGAATGGGTATTAACTCAACATGGCCAAAGAGGAAGGTGGGAGGATATTAAAGTAGGTAAGGAACAAGGGACAGGGATGGAGTTGAAAATGTATTCACTTCATTTTGTGTCCTCTGAGAGAACCTGGAATGAAACCCAAGAGATTGGATTTAGTCCTTTCCTCACAAAGTTGTGCTCTGACTTCCAGATTTCATAGATTTTTTTAAATCTGTTGAGAGAGAAGACTGTGACCATGTACTGTTTCTCTCTAAGTTCAGTGCAATTGCTTCTCAGCCTCTGCCTTCTCCACCAGATGTGGATGTGAAGATTACCCAAAGCCATGCAAATCAACATGTTGCTGAAGTCTCAGATTCTGTAAATAGCTCTAAAAACAGTCAGATGTTAATTTTAGAGGTTGGTACTAAACATTTTATATGCAAGTTTTGTTGTTTTCTTCTGAGTGGTTTTCTCCACAACCATGTGCATAGTGAGGTAGGGGAAAAAAGACGAAATTGTAGCTGTCCTCCCTGACTGAAGTTCTGCCTTTTTAAATGATAGTTTCCTTCTCGTAACTGAAACAGTTATGAGAAGCTGTTGGAGGTTCTTCTCATGCAGGGCTCATTGAACACTATGGGGAAATTAATACAATCCATGCTAAACAAGTTGAGAGCCATAGTTAATAGCCATCTTTTTCCAGAGGCATTAGGATGAAGGATTTTTGTTTCACATGCTGCGTACTGCAAAAAACACTGTGATTACCACATAAATGTTCATTTGATTTATTTTAAAGGATCGACCCCTGTCAGCAAGAGAGAGGAGGAGACTAAAACAGTCACAGGAAGAGGTGTTTCCTTCTGGTAACTTGTATTTGCATGTTGACTCTTTTACATGCAGAGCCTTATGCCTTCTCTGTGGAGAACTACAATCTACTTTTTAGTATATTTCCCCCCCAAGAGATTCCTTGAGATGTACTTTTAGTGTTAATAGGAGTTTTTATTTAGCATAACTATTTTTCTAGGGCTCATTCTGTATTATGCATGGAGGCAACTTGTATCTGAAATATGTGGGAAAAGGAGGAAATGCATTTTTTCAGCTAGAAGTGTTGTCTTCTGTTTAGAAAAACAGATTACTTCCCAGTGCTATGTTCTGCCAGGTTTTAGCCTTTCCTTTCATGAGCCATAGAAATCATTCAAAATAAATGTAAACAAATAAATACTGTTAAAAAGTTTGTCATTCTTTCAGTGTCTGATGCAAAACGAACATCACATAATGCAGTAGCTGAAGCAAAATTACATGTGGAAAATCATATTAAAGTTTCTCAGTCCTCATCAGAGTCCAGTGTTTCTCAGGTAAACTGGGGTTATCTGCTTTTTAAATATTTAAATACAGGCCTGTGTGAGAAACAAAATTAACTGAGAAAGTTGTAACACAAAAATTATTTACTGTAGAGCACATAGCCAATAAAACTACACAGCTGTTCTGAAGCTCTTGCCTCCCAAAAGTTATGAGTTACAGTTGCTGCAATAGCTTACCTCATATTTGACACCAGAATTAAACTGATTTAGCCAATCACGACTGACACATTTTCACCCTTATTCATCAGAAATGAAGGATTGAATGGGCACAAAGATGGAGTTGGTAATGTTCAACTGGGGAGCAACGTGATGGAAGCATGTGCTGCCTCTTTCTGGGATATGCCTTGAATGTAGATAAATGGGACTTCAGTCTCATTCTGTTAGTTGCTTTGTTCATTCATGCACTTAGATTGGGCTACTTCCTGATTTTGTCTGAAACTCATTTTGCCAAAACTACATTTTAAAAAAAAAGGAGAAAAATAATCCCACAAGTGAAGAAAGTACAAAAATTAGGTATAGAATGAAAAATCTATCATTTGAAAGGGCACACCCAAAGTTCATCATGCTTTTGGCAAAATGTGTATGGTTATGTGCTGCCAAAAGTAATAAGCGTTAATTTTTAAACTTTAGAATGTCAATAACACTTAGCTTGAAAAAACCTCTGTACTTGCAAATCAAGAAAAATTAGATTTTGCTTATGGCATATATATGCTAATGATATGCAGTTTTTTTTGCGTGTTGTATTAAAAATTGAACTCACTGAATTATGGAGATGCATATATGAAATTTAGGTTGAAGCCACCTAGAAAATGTTAGGGAATACTGAAGTTACTGAACAGAATAAAAATATTTGTATAAAGACTGATACCTTGTAGTCCAACAATAATTGCTCTTATAATGTAGTTTAAAATTCATTGCCTGAGAATTTATCAATATGCCCAAATTACAGAACTTGAAACAGGCTGTGTAAAATACTTAATGAATCATTCCATTTTAAATAGAAGTGACAGTTTTAATATGCTAATTAAATTAGCACATGTATGTGCTTTGACAAACATATTACAATTCTTGGTCTTAACTTGTAAACATCCATTACAATTTACTTACCCAGTTAAATCTTATTTAGTAAGTTATACTTGATGAAAATTGTTTTTTTCCATAGTTCAAAGAACCTGTGTGTTATTGTACAACTGCTTTAATACAACCTAGTTCTGAGCACAAAAGGCAGGTGAAGCCTTTGGGTAGTGGCAATATCTTTTATTAGACCAACTAAATAGTTGCAAAAAGTTTATCTGAAAGCTTTCTGACACATACATCCTTCCTCAGGCCAAAAAAAAAGAAATAAAGCATGGTGAGAGATATGAAAAATGGTCAGAAATCCTTTGGGTATGAAAAAAAGCCAGTCTTTAGAAAACTGTTCTGCAGGAATGCAAATTTAAGAGGGTTGCAGGGAACAAAAGCAGGTTGTTTACCTCTAGGTATAAGATGTCGGCCAGGTGGGGGAAAGGAGGGCACAAAATCAATGTTAAAAATTAGTCCTGGTTGTTGGAATTTGGCTTTTTTCATCTCACATTTTGAAGATTCTATTTCAAATGGCATAATGTAATATCTTCCATATTTCAGGGATCTAGGCAATAGCCATGTTGGTCTGATTGTAATTCTACGAAGTAATTTATTTGTTTTGTCTATGATAGAAAAAAAAAATAACCCATTGCCTATCTGATGATGAGATGAGCTCTTCCACAAGTTCCACAGATAAGTCGGATGGAGATTTCAAAGCAGGGTAAATGTCTTCTCTTGCCTATAGTCATCCAGTAGTCATTTGTTTCCAGTATCTAGTACTTTTTACTGCTTGGATTTGATATGGAAAACTAGAAATGTATTTTCATAGTTGATGCATATATCCTGAATCAAATCCGTTTTGAACATTTGATCATTGGCCTCTCTGACCCAATTATTTTCAACCTGCCCTGTATAACTTATTGGTGTGTGTGTGTAATTCACTGAAACCAAAGGCATAGCAAATGGTTTACTATGAAATCCATTTATCAGTACGAAAGCAACTATTAGTTGCAAAGGTGCTAGCATGGTTTCCCTTCGAATGGGAACAAGATTGAAGTGTTTATTAAGAATCTTGTCTTCCTTACATCTTTCTTTACATTTTTTTGCCATAGTACCAGTGTAGATTAAGCTAATGTGGCTGACTTGATTGTTAATCACTGTTGTTTAGACTAGGTCAGAGTAACAGATAGATGAAATTGATGCCCTGTCTAAACTAAGATGCCTACCAATGGAGCTGTGTAGCAAAAAAAAACCAACCCCAAAACCACAACTGTTCTCCCCCCTCCCCCTCTCCCCCTCCCCAGATATAATGGCACCTACAGATAGGGATCTCTAAATCATGGAGGAAGTGCTCCTCACAGCAGCTCCTTTAATTTTTTTTCATTTCACTGCTTGCTCCTCCTCCTCCCCCCCCACCCCACCCAATAGGTGGAGAGCCCTGTCAGCCACACTGATCACTGGGGAAGCAAAAACTGTGGTTTTAAATATGCCACAGCTTTTGCCTCCTTGCTGGTGATCAGCAAAGGGGCACTGGTGGCCCCACCAGTTGCTGCTGACCAGAGAGGAAGCAAAAACCATGGCGAATTTAAAATGTCACTTCTTCCTTCCCTGACAATCAACAATAATGGCAGGGCCAAGTGGCAAAATGAAAAAAATTAAAGGAGCTGCTTGCTGCAGGGGGCACTTTTTCCATGATTTGCAGAGATCCCTACCTATAGATATCAAGTTCCTGAAAGCTCACAATAATTGTGAACTGAAGCCAGGGCCTTGAATTAGGTTTTGTTTTATGTTCTAGGAAAAAAAATACAAATGAAATGGACGATTTGGTTCAGCTTATGACTTGGACCCTGAAAATGGACTCTAAAGAGAACTGTGAACACCCCTTAATCCCAACCCCTGAATCAGAATTCAAGTTTCAAAAGAAATACAGGGATACTCTTATCCTATGTGGAAAAGCATCTAATGAACCAGAGGAATTCAGATTTGAAGAATTTCCTTCAGGTTAGTAGTTCTGTTCATACTTTAAAAAAGAATAGGTTTGACAAGGTCCACTGACCATCAGTGGTCAACAGAGCACTTACTGGTAGTCCACAGAAAGCTGTTGCATTACATGGGTATAGGTTCTCCTTCTAGCTGTTAAATATAATTGAAAGCAGTACTTTTCTGTGTAAGCAATTGCTGTAGCTGCCAGCAGGTGAGGTAATCTTTGCAAATGTAGATCGAGGGGAGAGATGGTCTGAGTGTTATTCATTGGTCTGTGAGCCAGGCTATGGACTTCTTAAAATGAACTGTTCAAAATTGAAAATCAAAGTTTAAAGATTTAAAAAGTTTAAAAAGTATGTTTTTAAATGTCAAAATAGTATTTCATAACACGTCTTGATCATGGGTAGGACCCAATATCTAAACCTGAGGGCTTTAAGTGGGTGCAGAAGTTCATTATGCATCTCATCACAGAAATGGGGCTAATTTTTTTTGTAGCAGCAGTTCTTTTTACCTGAATTGACAAGTTCAAAGTTAGAAGACATCTTTCAAATTCAGACCTCTGAGTGGTATTATTCTGAAAGGTGACAGTAGAAATGGTGTTGTATGACTGACTCCATATAATATCAAATCAGTTTACAAGCCAAAGGATGAGTAAAAAAGCTAAACCTGAGGTCTGTTGATCTAAATTTTGCTTGTCCTGGTTTTGCATGTTTTTAAATAGCCAACATAATATTGGAAAGTACGTTGAATTCTACTGTTTTGCCCCTCACCGAAACAAATGCTTAATTCTAGCATTTTTCATTGTTTTTTAATTCCACATTTAACTCTGGTAAGGGGCAAAGCCAGAATAGAATTTAGCTCAGTGTCAATATTATGCTGGCTCACATCAAATGAGAAAAAAACTGATAAAGATGTTTGATCCCAGCAATGCAGTTGGTTCAGTAAAAGATACAGTACTAAAAAATCCTTGCCTCTAGTGAAAGTGACATTTTTGGTCAGCTTTGTTTTTCATAGTAACTGTACCTTTTAGATTTATAAAACAGTGATATCACTGGCTCAGAAATTTACTGCTGGCACCTTGTAAATAGAAACTACCATTGAATGTTTGGTTGACACATCAATGAAATTCACACTAAAAATAAAATCACGTTTGGCTCGATCAGATCTTTTATCTGCATTTGTTCATTAATGAAGAAATTTAGGGCACTGAAAACAGATCACTGACTTAAATCTAGTTTGTGTCAGTAGTGACAATGTTATTTTTAGATTATTTTAATAGCCAAAGTCAAGACTTAGCATGCTCTTGGTTCATTTCCTAATGGAAACCTTGCGGGATCATAAAATTACTGTCATGGGGAGGTTGAAAGGCCACTGAGGCTTGAAAGGAAGACTAGTTTATGTTGGTATAAATAAGAAGTAGACAGATGATGTAAATACTTACACTAGTGTAATGTAATCTAATGTGGTATAGAATTACCTTGATAAAAACAAGAGGTAAAACTACTCCTGTGTGTGTAAGATCTGTTTCCATCCTGGAGCAACCATTTGCTCAATCCAGACAGGCTGTTACATGCCCTTATCTAGTAGCAAGGCCATATGATAGCATCTGCTGTGAACAGCCAGCCCAGAATAGCTACCCATCTCTGTACTCTGGTTCCTAGTGTAATGTACCCCAGCATACACTGATATTAATGCTTCATGTCCTGAAGTATGTTGGTGGATGGCATTATTGCTACCAGTGCTGTTTTTTCAGTACAGTCATTATTGAATTTTTAAATTCCTTTTTTAAGTGTAAAATGATTGAAATGCACTTAAGGATTTTAGTTGTAGGATCTACCCTTTGACGTGGAACTGCTACTCCAAACTACCTTTTTTTCCCAAAAGTATGTTTTCTAACTGTGATTGTAGAGACCCTTCCAAACATACCTGCAGGACGCACATTATTATTTTATGCTCTGAGGCCTTCATCCTGCAAACTGGATTCATGTGGACTTTGCACCTGCAGATTCCGCCAGTAGGGTTACTGTGTTACTGGTGATCACCCAGCTAACATACTTGTTTCACAATCCCAAATTATCTCCCCCATGGATTCCTTGGTATTGATTAGCCCATATTCAAACCCCTGGTAGGAAAGGAGCCTGTTAAAATGAACTACTTTACATTTTTTTTTTTTAAAGATGCCTTATCTGGTCCTAAAAAGATTAAGAGAATGGTTGAAATCTTGAGATCTGATGTGGTGCGAGGACTTGGAGTGAAACTTTTAGAGAAAGTATATGATATCATGGAGGAAGAAGATGAGCTGAAGAGAGAGGTGAATTTTCCTCCTTCCCCTAATGCTGCAGTCCACTAAATCTGCTTTTTTCCTTCCATGCTGTCTAAATGAGCATTTCATTTTTATATTTTAAGAAACTGATCTAACAACATAGACCCTGCCCCTGAAAAGACATGTGTGTGTGCTTATTTGTTTGCATAATTAGGCCATAGTCATGTATATTGAAAGCAGAAGTTGCAATCTTAATTTTAGTTCATTCTGAATTGTTGGAAAAGTTGGCTTCAATTTTGAGACCATTTTGAGATTGATAATTATGTTATATAAATAATCCACTGTATTGTGTATTTTGGTTATTTGCATGCTTTTTCACAGGACAATTTTGTGCATCTATCCAGTTACATTTTACCTGGTTAGTTGCACATTAGCTCTTAACACATTTTGACTTGCTGTGTAAATTGAGACTTTGGAGGGGGGGAAACCTAGGCTTGGTTAATCAAGTAATGTGGTGCGTCAAACTCCATCAGACCCTCTGGGCCAGATGAGTGGCACAGGTCCTGGGTGAGTGGTGTGAGGCTGCATTCAGTGTACATTCCCAGGCTGGCCCTATGGGGCCAGTCAAGTGCGCAATGCATGTGGGTTCAGTCTGAGATCCATGGGCAGCATGTTGGGCCAGATAATAGGGCCCTGTGGGCTGTATCATAGACACTTGTGAAGTAATGCAACAGTTGAGCAGTATATGGAAAGATAGTATTGCTTGTAACAGACAAGTTATACCATTTTAAATTAGGAAACGTTTTTGCAATCTGATGAATGACTGATTACATACAGTTTTTTGTTGTTTTAAATTTAATAAGCACATTTCAGTCTTTTGAGATATACTTAACATGTTTCCTGCTATGATGAACATATTTGATTAATCACTTATTTAACAGCATGTCTGAGAGAACTGATTTGTATTGTACAGGATTTATTTGTTATTCACACATACATGCTTAATTATAAAGGCACAAGAGTGTTTATGACTGAGTATCAATTGCCATCATTTTCAATGTATTTCTAACAAGTCTTAAGAACTGACAGAAAACATACGGGGCAACTTGCAGTGCAAGGCCACATTATGACTGGGACTTATGCCGTCCATTTCTGGGTTTTATTTTTTCCCTACCCTTATTAGCATAGTCTTATTTGCATAATTTTGGAGGGAGCAGACAGGAGGGCTCTGTAAATAATACAAATCAACTTCAGCATTGTCTTCATTTTTGTAGAAGATGCAAGAGTTTTGAATGTGTGCATTTTGAAGACAGCATTTGGCCATTCCAAAGTGGAAGTTCATTAGAGAAATGTCAATTAACTGGCATTTCACCAACGACCTTCCATTTTGGAATGCCCAAAGGTACTTTCAGAGTCCATGTACAGTTTTCATTGAAATCAATAAAAATACCCAAATATATAAATCTACCTCTAGTATTTCTAAAATGTGTACATCAGGGGTGTCAAAGATGCTGACTGCAGAGCCCTACCATCTGCCCCATAGTACTACCTTTGAGTCTTAGACTATGCCCTCATACTGTATGCAGAGCTGGTCAGATTTCCAGTTGTTTGCTGCAAAACTTGATTACAACTGAAGTGCTGCATAGATAAGCTAACAAAAAAGCTTGTGTACTGCTCTTTATATAGCACACATCTCTTCTGAAATTTTCAACCCAGTTCATTTTTAAAGTTCTTAGTTTCAGCTAAGACCATTTGTATGTTTCATTTATTCATCCTCCCTTTCAACTGATCAGACTGAATGGCATCCTCAATGTAAATTTTCTTAGGAGCAGCATGTGTGTGGGGGGACCAAAGGGGGAGTAAATTAAAACAACGGACTTATACTGTTTTTGTTCTAGTTACAGTTGCGGGAGCACATGGGAGAGAAGTATACCAGTTACAGTGTGAAGGCTCGCCATCTGAAGTTTCTTGAAGATAATGTAAAATTTTGACTAGGTGAATGTCTTTTCTTAGAGAAAAGATTATCTAGTTTGTGTTGGGTAGGTTGGATCATTATATACTACACAGACTAACTTATAGTTATGATACTTATTTTTTATCCTTAGACTTTCCTTTTCTTGGCAAGGAGATGAACTGGACAGTGTATAGGACTAGTAATAGTCATATTGCTCTTAATACTGTGAAACTGGCCATTACATTCTCTACAGAAGAGAGAGAATGGTTATAAATTTGGATTTATTTTTTAATTAAAGCTTCCTTATACTTTACAGAATGATTTTTATAAATATGAAGTTGTTCCGAGAAATGGTGCATGTACTAAATTCTCTGTGTAAAATATTTTAACTAGATGGAAGTGTTTTTTAGGTGGGGGTTAGTTTAAATTTCTTACAGTAGTAGGGTAGCATGAGATTGCAGCTAACTAAACCACATCAGTTGACTGTACGTAGGTGAAGCTACATGGTGGTACTGCCAGTATAGAATGTTGTGTAGTACATACCAATATATTTAAATATTTCTGAAAGCTTTAAATGAAAAAATTCAATATGGTATAAACAGTAGGCCTGTGTGGATAGGGAACTATTCAATTTAGGTGCCAGAGATTCGACTCAGAGATCTGAAACATATTTCGAATTCGATTCGGCTGAATCGCTTCAGAAGATTCAAAGCCGATTCAGCCATAAAGTATAATGGGGAAGCAATGAAATATCTATAACTTTGTTGTCTGTTGGCTGATTCAAATGAAACTTGCAGGGATGGCAGCCTCTGCTGCAAGCGTGACCTGTACCAAGTTTCAAGGTGATAGGTGCAGGGGTTTCTGGGAAACTGCACCTCAAATGCCTGAAAGCAAAACTTATGACATAGGTGACACTGTGTGTGTTAAGATGCAGCAGGGTGAAAGTTGCAGGCCTACTCTGAGGCCATGAAGCCTGCCAGCTGTTAAGGAGATGGGTGCAGGGGGATTCTGGGGCCCTGCACCCCTAGCTGCTGACAAGCAAAACTCGTGACGTGGGTGTTTGTGCAACTGACTGTCTCTGTCTTCCGGCAGAAGCAGTTCCTGGCTCTGTATTGATGCTTTCTTCTCCTTAGTCTGTGGTTTTGTAGGTGTTAATCCTTGCCCGTTAACTCATTATCTAGTAGCTAGCTACTGTGTATTGAGCTGGTCCCCAAGTGAATCAAGATTGATTGGTAACACAGTAGCTTAGCAGCCAGGCCTGCAGTAGTGTCGCCCCCCCCTCCACCCCATGCCCCAAGAGTGAGACAGTCGCACAAGCACCCATGTCATGAGTTTTGCTTGTCAGCAGCTAGAGGTACAGGGCCCCAGAACCCAGAAGCCCCTACACCTATCTCCTTAACAGCTGGCAGGCTTTGTGGCCTCAGCAGGGGCTACCATCCCTGCAGCTTTCACCCTGATGCACTTTAACACACACAGTGTCACCCATGTCACAAGTTTTGCTTGTCCACAGCTTGAGGTGCAGTTCTCCCAAACCCCTGTACTCATCTCCTTGAAACTTGGCAGGCTTTGTGGCCTCAGCAAGAGCTACCATCCCTACAGTTTTCACCCCCGTGACATAACACCCCCC